CTTGCTTTTATGGACGGGACTTACTTTATAAAAACAAATTTGGCTAAATCTTTGTTTCGTCGTGCTAGCTTCACATCGATTTGACATTATTCATCTTTTCGGAACGATCACGGCGCATATATGCGTCACCCATACCAAAGACCAGAGTAATATCAGTGAGAAAAATAGATGAATACTACGGATCCTGAAATGTGAATCTTTTTGAAAGAGGTGGCCACTATAATGGCCACCCGTTCCGAAAGGGTTAAAGATGCTAATTTACTATTACCAGCTGTCACCAGTACTTCGACTGTACCGATATCATCAAGTCTTTTATTCTTCACAGCTGCAGCGAGTCTTGTAATTCCTTCGTCTAACATATTAGTCATCTTGTTCGTTCAACAACTGTTTTTCTGTTTCTTTTATTCTTAAAGAATTAAGAGAGAATGCAGACTATAAGAATAAATAATAAGAAAGGACAGAAGAGCAAAAAATAAAAATTAGAAGTGCATATTTGAAGAAAAGATAATATTGTTACACATTTTACTCTCTCTGAAGCAGTTTTCATGTTTATTAAAGCAAGTTATGCTGAAAGATAAGTTTTCAATCGTTACTCTGTTCCATCTAAACGTAAATTTTATACTAAACAGTAGTATTTCAACACATTTTGCAATGTCCTGATTTTTATTGGAATTCCTGATTTTTTTCCCATTTGTGTCCTGCCTATTTTCCTGATTTTGTAACATAGGTCGCTGCGAGGCCTGAATGTGTAGTTCTAATCTTCTAGCAATATAACTAAAAGAAGATGTGTTCTTATAATATTGACTGCCTCTAAGCTATTTATTAATGATCTGAACAATTCTTCATTCGATCGGTTTTTTTCTCGAACGGAAATCACAATGTCAAGTAATTTTGTTTTTATTTTTAGATATGTTAGTTTTAAAATCATTTTATTTTTAATATCAATGACTAATAATACAATATTATCTTTACCTGTTGATTACAATTCAACATTAACACTAATAAGTACTGCTACAACAACTACATCATTAAAAATATGTAGCGTTTCATTACAATATAAATTTATTGAACATATTGTTTATCTTTATTTTATGTCTCCATTATGTCTTATTGGTCTTATATTAAACGTGATTAATTTAATTGTTTTTTCTGATCGTTCATTTAAAAATTTAACATTCAAATATTTACGTCTTGTTGCCTTTGTTGATTGTATAACATGTATACTCGTTTTTATTTATTGTATTACTAATTATACACGACCACACACATTAAGTGATAAATATTTTCGTATATGGTATTTAGTTAATGTTTATTTCCCATTAGCAAATATAACTGCAGGATGCAATGTTTTATTAACATTAACAGTAACTATTGAAAGACTTGTTAGTGTACGTTGGCCAATGGAAAAACAACGTTTATTTAGTTCAAATCGTGTATTAATTACATTAATGATTTGTTTTTTATTTCCAATTCTTGCTAATTCAGTTAATTTTCTTGTTTATAAAGTTGGTGAATGTAATAATCTTGCTTTAACATCAATAGCTAGAACGCGCGCATATGAATTTTTTGGTATGGCTAAAGAATTTCTTTTACGTTTAATCCCAATATGTATACTTATTTTTTCAAATTGTCTTTTATTATCAACTGTACGTACGGCAAATCTAAAATTTAAACCACAAAAAAAACCATTACAATTAACAACAAAACAAACAACCGTTCTTCTTCAACCATCATTAAATGGTTGTGATACAATATCAATTACGAAATATATATCTGAATCACAATCTCAAACAGATAATCTTTTATCAACATCATCATTATCTGGTGAATTAACAGTACCTATTCATGATTTACAAAGAAATACTTCAATACCAATGTCAGCATCAAGTCGAATGCATACAAGAAAACAACAACAAGAAAGACAATTAACAATTATGCTTATTTGGTTATCAACACTTTATTTATGTGGACAAATTCCAATGTTATTTGCATATCCAGGTTTCATTTTTAAAGATACAAGTAAACCATCATATAAATATTATGCACTTGTTGTTAATGTACTTGAATTAACAACTTATTTGGCAAATTTTTTTATTTATGTACGATTTACAACACAATTTCAATTAGTATTTCGTACAAAAATTAAAAAAGTCTTTTTTTGTTTTGCAACAAATTCATAAGATTCTATATATTGATAAATTATATTCTTATTCTTGTATTTTTCCTTCAAAGGTTCTTTTTTCTTTCTTTCTTTTTCGATTTCACATATGTTACTTACTTTAACTTGAAAATATAGCATTTGAACAAAGTGAAATATTCTATTGTTATCAATAAGATTAATATCGATAAAATGTCAAGATGTGTTGATTTTAAAAAAAATCTTCATTAGTTTAAGAATATTATTTTATTAAACACAATGAACGTCTGAAGTGTTCGATATACAATATATATATTGATTGAAGAATGATGTTTACTTATAAACTGAAGTAAACGAGAATAACTTAAATCGATCTTTTTCTTTACATTGAAAACCAACATTTATATGTAAAATATCTAAGAGAACGTAAGAAATATATAGATAATTCTTTTAATTATTTGATCTTATGGGACATTTTATTAGTAGATTATAAGATGTAGATAAGACGAAGAAATAGAAATAAAATTAGTATCCGTATGGGATTTATCTAATTTTTATTGCGTTTTTTTCAAGAATATATTAAAATTGAATACATAAAAAAATATTTTTGATGGAAGTCGATTATATTCAGTAGTATATTGTTGATGAAATCAGCCCTAACAAGTGTTTGTTTAATATTTATTTATTAACTATTGCAAAAATGATTCTGACGATCTAAAACATTCTGTCACAGTTGAGATCGCATATACAGAATGTCTTGATAGGGAATATTTGGTTTGAAGATTATTCCATAGATATTATCTTCAACTAATGTTTCATTCAAAGATTAATGTGATACTGATAAACGGATCTTAATAGCCGTTCTGTTTTAAATGAGTAGCTAAATATGGGCTAAAACCTTCTCAATCAGAAAAATGTTCTGAAATGTCAATAAATCGTTAGTGATGAAGTTAATAGGCAGAAAAACAGTATCATTTGTTGTTAAGAATGCTGGAAGGGGCTCGAAGAACAATCAGATAATTGACTTCTATAAATATATTATCTGGGTCATAGTGATATAGTAATTTCTATATAACAAACTACAGTAATCGATAAATGTAATACACAAGAGAATAACTTTAAAATATAGAAATATAATCGTAACAAATGAGATCATTATCTATAATTTTCTATATCTTGATTATGTCAAAATAATAGAAGAACAAGAACACTTAAAAATGACATTTAGTTCTAGTTATCATAAATTATAGTTTATACTAAAAAACCTCAAGATGAAACACCATATCTATTGTAGTCTCATCATTTCAGTTGTCCTTATATTCATTAGCTATAACTCATGAAATAAAAAGAGTTCTTCATCAACAATCAATTTTTCATACTGATAAAGTTTGTTGAGCATATCCAGACAGACAAAACTCAAAAAAAACGGAGAAATACGTGTAAAACTACGTTAAATTTCGCGTTTCAGCGAGTAATTACGGAGTAAATTTTAACGCAGTAGAACGCTTTCTAAAAAACTGCGTAGAAACGAGTTAAGAATTCGTAAAAACAGCGTTTTTATAATGGTCTACTGTTAAAACGCCGTATATATGCTGTTTGAACGCGTTTTTTTAAAGATCATGTCTGCCTGAGTAGGACAGAACATTATATTACTTTACGATACATTCAGTTTTTTACGAACTCGTATTATATATTATTCATTCAAAATAATAAAAGAAAAATGATCATACTCTAGCCAACAGTTTACTTACATTATAAACTAAGTGGTACTAAATCAGCTTGTAGGTTGAAGAATATATCTTATAACTAACATCTCGAGATATTCGAAATAAATGTTTTATTTTGATCAAAAATTGCTCCTCCTACCGTAACTCAATGATTCGAATTTTTTTAATTAATTTTTTTCTATGCCACTATTTGGTATAAATAGAATTACGGGAAAACAAACTTTTGTTCTTAAAGTTATATGCTATTATAGTCTTCATTAATTAAAGTTGATCTAAATTTATACCAAACTGCTTCGACATATGAGGTATGTTAATGACATGAATCAGATGAAGAATTCACATTATTTTTTATCATCTGCTAATGAAGTTTGCGCTGAAAGTTGACAGATATATTTCGATATAACGTGCTAACGACAATGTTGCACTTCTAAGTTTGTTTTGCTCAATGGCATCAGACCACTGTAGAAATCATGACTAAAATCTCTTGCTTTCTGATATTAAATACAATCGTTCTTTAACATCATACGTTGTAATAAAGTAGTTAAATGATATAAAGTTCATATTCACATCATACACTTGTTTCTTTTGAATAACTGATCTGAATACAAATATAAAAACAATTAAGAATATACAGAGATAATTACTTGAATACGAAACTATAATAATCCAATTGCTGATAAAATAGTGACAATTCATTAACGTTGAAAATCACTTCATTTTGTATTTCTTTTCATATAAATATTCATTATATTTCTATTAGTAGAATTAATTTATTTAATTTTCTATTAATTATTAAACAAAAAAACAAAGTCAATCTACTAGTTTTAATATTTTCCTAGTATATTTACATATTAAAAGACTATCAAGCATTCGTAATTTTCTAAAAAAATTCAAATTTCTAACAATCAAGAAAATCTGATGCAACTAGTACTTCCACGACTACTTGAACATCCATTGGAAATTCAGGAATATCAACTGATGAACTAGAATAAATAAATATTTATAGGAAAAATGAAAATGATACTATTTTACTTTGTATATTTAATTTTATAAGAAAAATAACGACAAAGATGAATAAGTACATGAGATGGTATATCTTTAAGATATACTTCATTTGGTTGCAATTCAGAATATTGTCCTGGTCCACTAAGCATATTTTTAATTGTTGGTGATGATGTTAAAGCAAAATCACGGCGTACAACAAATTCATGTCCATCTGACGAAATTAATTTTAGATACATTGATTCTGGCCCTTCTAATCCACCATAGATATTCATTAATGTAGCACCATCAGTATCCATCGGTATTATTGAATTCGAAAAAAACTAAATGAGATAAGAAAAACAACCAAAAACATATTTTTTAACTAATCACGAATGATTCAATCCCAAAGATTTCATCAGTTAGTTGCTACCATGAAAAAAGCAGATTACCGCTCCTTCTGATATTAATTGAAAACAAGTAACGCTCATCCGACGACTCGCTTAGCTCTTTCTCGTAGAAATGCATCCTCTTCGCATTTACTGAAAAAACAATTGAAAATCGTGGAAAATAGGTTTTCGATGTTTTTGACCTGCGGCCCCTATGTACCTCCTTCCCCCTCTCTTACTATGACCACCCAACAGACCTCAAATTCGAACTCACCGCATCGAAATACCTCAAGAAATGTCTTTTTTGAAAAATTGCTTTTCGATGTTTTTTTGACCCTGTGGACACACAAGCAAGCAAGCAGACAATTTATTCTTACTGGACTCTTCTCTACGAGAAAGAGAATAAAAAATAATGTTCATATATTAAATGTATAATATTTATTTGAATTGTCGAGAAGAAAAGAGATCATCTCCAAAGGGAGAAAGAGAGCGCGCACAGAACAGTCATGAGAGAAATAGACATCCACACACACACACACACACACACACTTGACAAGAATCTTCTGCGGTTATACACGAAAAAAAACAAACGAAGGATAGATAGCATTTTGTGGCAAAGAGAAAAAAAACCGCACAAGTATCTATAAGGTAAATACGAACGAGAATCACTGTTCTAGTAGTTAGTTAGTAATGTGTAATTTAGAATATACGAAAAAAAGAAAACGAAAGGACTAAAACACAAACACAAACACACTATTCAGTCGCGAAAAAAAAAAGAAAAATGAGAGAGAGAGAGAGACAAAAAAATTGCGAGAGAAAAATTTTGCCTAAAAAAACAATCAGCAGCAGCGACTAGAATTTGATTGAGATTGAACATTGTTTTTCTGCTTATTTATATATATATATATATCATCGAAATATTATGCACGCACATGTTTCAAATAAATCTCTATTCTTATTTTTTTTTGTTTTGATATGTATACATTAAAAAAAGAAGAAGAAGAGATGAGAATATGAGAAGAAACACGTACGTCACCGATGAGTTCTATGTAAAATGTAATGACTAGAATTTTTGTAAGAGATATTTATTTATCTCAGACCAGCTAAGAAAAGAAAAAGAAAGATTTTAACATTTTGAGTCATCATCTGCATCAGGAAAGAAAACAGTTGGTTCCGTATTTCGACGTTTGATCTTAGATTTACGTTTTCGAAGCATTGTTGCCTAGAAATATATTTTATATATAAGAAAACAACAAATATGAAATTTTTCTATACTTTAAGTGCTGATCGTATAATAGTTATGTCACAGGGTGGTTGAAGCCATGGTTCACCGTCAACTTGAACTGGTACTGGATAATCATTATTCATTCGAATATGAACCTTGAAAAAATAAAATATTTTGTTTTTGAGAGATTTTTGTTATTACAATGTTGAAACTTACATGTCCACCTTGAGCAAGTCGAACACCAGAGCGTATACCTGATTGAATTTGTCCAAGATGTACAATACCAGTAACACCAACAACTTCTAACATGCCATCATAATGTGTTGGTCGATTAAATTTATCATCTTTTTCATGTCCCCATAAATTGGCACCACTTGCCCAACTAAAATAGAAGAATACATTTCTTATATAATTTTTATTGTTGTTCTCTTACCTGAGTATATTCATAATAACAATGCCTTCTAATGATGGTAACTCAACACGTTTTCCATCAACTTCAAGTACAATATCTCGTGTAAAATCTTTTAAACCACCTTTTTTCATCATTTTTCTTAATCCAGTTTTAAGATAATAACCTTTTGCTTGTATTCTTAAAAGAAAAAAATATATATTAATCAATAAAAAAACAAAAATTATTCTTATTATACCGGCTATTAAATTTATTCGGATTTTCTTCTCTTGCCATATGAAAATCCAAACAAATATCAGCATCAAGACCAAGTCCAAAATAATTATTCATAACAAACATTTCTGTTTTATCTTCATTTGTTGAACCTTGTAAAACAATCTAAACAAATAGAATATTAAATAACTTATTATGAATTTATTTGTTCACAAGGGAAATATCCGATGTGTTTAATTGCTTTTCAGTGAATAAAAAACATGTCTGACTAGAAATTGACGAGTTTACATTGTTTTTTTTTACTGATTGAAAATGTTTATAATCATATGAAGAAATAAGATTTGTAAGAAAGAGAATATAGGACAAATTTTTTATCAAATGAAATCTATTGACTAACCGGTAATGCTGCAGTAGCATCTGTTGGTGGATTATGTAATCGTATTTTTTGTTTTTTCTCTTCTGCTTTTGTTGCTGCTGATGATGCTGTTGTTGTTGTTTTGGTATTGTTTATA